CCCTAAACCCCCAAACCCTAAGCCCTAAACCGTGGCTCAATGTTCGTGATGTCGCTTGTGCGCCGGATTTAGGGCTTTGTTTTCAATGGTGGATGGTCGAAGGTCGGGCGAGTTTAGACTTTTGAGGGTTTTGGGCTTAGGGCTTCGGGTTTAGGGCTTCGTTTTTGCTTTAAGGGGGGTTAGGGGCCTCAATATGAGGACACAATATGACCCTAAACCCTAAACCCTAAACCCTAAACCCTAAACCCTGGGGCTCACAGGTGCAAGAAACCCTAAACCCTAAACCCTCAGCAACTCCCAAGCGTCTTTCTGGTCCCCGACCAAATCCAATACCCTCCATAAAAACCTTACCTGGGGATCCCAAAACCTGCCGTTCTAAGGGTTCTATAGTTAAGGGGCCAGAACCTAAACCCTAAACCCTAAACCCTAAACCCTAAAATCTTGTAGAGTTTGGGGTTACTGCACGGGCAATTAGATCCTCAACCCTGGACCTAAAAGCCTAAACCCCAAACCCTTAGGGTAAAGATCCATTAGACATTATAGAGTTCAGGGTTTAGGGTTTAGGGTTTAGGGTTTAGGGTTTAGTATATTAGTAGCTGTATTTGAAGGAGCCCTAAACTCTATAGACCCTGAGGCGAACACGGGGGTCTGGGGGTGAAGCGCAGCAAAAAGTCCACCGAGTGGACTCTGACAGGCAGGGTTTAGGGTTTAGGGTTCAGGGTGTAAGGTTTAGGGGTGAGGGTTCAGGTTTTAGGGTTTAGGGGCGAGGGTCCTTAAAGGACCCACTGATTAGGTACTTGAGGTTAGGGTTTAGGGTTCAGTATTGAGGAGAGTAGTGCTGTAGGTTAACTTGTGGGAGAGTATCTTAGGTACTTGGACCCTTAGGGTATATGGGGGGGGGGTACTTAATTCCAGGGTCTTGTGTATGTGGCTTACAAGGTTTGTACAGTCCTTGAAAGTTCTGTACGTATGGTAGGGGGGGGCTGCTATTGGTGATTAAGGCAGGTGCTAAATTATGGTAACGGGTAGCTACGGTAGGAGTTATCAAATCCCGTGTTTTATGTGTCTCTGTACTGTTTGGTGTTTCCTAACTCCTAAACCCGCAACCTCAAACGGTCCCTACTGTTGGAGTCCAGATAGAGGTGCCTTATCAAACCGCCGGCGGTTGATGTGGACTCTAGCATTTAGGGCATGGGGTCTATGCTTTAGGGTTTGGCATTTGAGGGTTTACGGTTCAGGCCTTCAGGATTCGAGGCTTGTGATTTAGGTTTTCGGGTTGGGCCGGATTGGATCATTCTGGCGCTTTTTCAGCATTTAGGGTTTAGGGCAGAGTTTGTTGTCAGGTGTGTTTCTTGCTCGATGTTCAGATGGCTGCTGTTGTTGCAGTAACCACTCTCAGAATTGTCGTGAGCTCGATCATGCCTGTACAAATGTCCATCTTGTCCAATGCCTTTAGTATCCTTGCTTGCTTCAAACTTCCGATTGTTAACAGTTTGATATCGGTTATTCTCATTGTGCAGATGACGATGGTGAGCAGTAGGGGAGGAGGAGGAGGAAGAGGAGGCGGAGGAGGAGGAGGAGGAGGCCTTGGGGTGGGATCAGAGGGTCACAGAAGGTGTTCGTTCCAGCTGCCACTGTGAGGCTTTTTCAGAGGAGCTGAGCGACCGTGTTGCTGTCTGCGCACTACAGGTTGATGGATTTGCTTCCCTGCGCGTGAGTAAGACTAGGATAGGTATTTATTCAGGCCCATCTCTTTAAGCATTCGACTTCGTTTTGTGAGTTGCGCAGCCCCACTTGGGACACTTGCATGCTCCTATTCTGAGAGTTGAACGTTGGATCGCTTCACTATTGTCCAAGAGAGTGAAAACGCTCTACAAGAATCCCGCCTGGTCTAGAGTAGGGTATCCGCTTATACTAAGGGTCTTAATCTCCGGTTGAATTGGATATCACATCGGTCCAACATAAGGGGGTTCTTGTGCAGAGCCCAATGTGTGCTTCAGTCCATATGGCACTGGTATGAATGAGAGTGTGAAACACGGATCCTTAATGTCGAGTGGCTCAAGCTGGGGAGGGTGCGGAGGATCCTTGAAACAGATGTACTTTACACACGTCCCTTAGACCCCCTTTGTCAAGGACCTCATAGTTCACTGTAAAGAGTTGTGAGTCCCACTGTAAAGAGCTGTGAGTCCTTGTGACCCTGTGCTCAGTTGAGCCCCCGAAAAAGCGTGTTAGAGCTTAGGAGGTTGGGATAGGGACTCGAGACCGTTAGAGACGAGAGGCCGACAAATCTTAAATCCCCCAAGGTTTAGGGTTTAGGGTTTTGGGTTTTGGGGTTTAGGGAACTTTAACCATGAAGCCCGATAGATCCGAATGAGCTCTTGGCTCTTGCTGCGCAGGTGTCGCATACCTTATAAGCCACTACAACGCCCCTTGCCGTTTGTGATGGGTTGCTTTGAGGGTTCCTTCTAGGGATAGTATAGAGTTTCGTTAGTGTTTTGCAGGGTTTTACTTTTGTTTTTCTTAGAACATGTATAGGGTCCGTCCACCTATATACTACGAAAGAAGGGTCCCTTCACCTAAAGTCCCGTTTTGGGTCTAATGATATAGGGATTCATAGGTACAATGTAACTATATTACATGGCATAGAACTTGCGCCTCAACATCGCTCCTATGCATACTGGAGTAGAACTCGTACTGCATAGGCACCTGGATCCAGACAAACTTTGGGGGATTTACGTACGGTCGGCAGGGAGCTCTCCCCATAGGCCCCATAGTAGTTCCTTTTGGGGATTCCGTAATAGAATCCTAACTATAAGCCACAAAAGGGAACTACAATGGGGCCAATGGGTAGGGCAGAAGTGATGGTTCATTCGGCGTGATGGGGTTCAGGTTGAGGATATGAGATTAAGCTTAGGGTTTAGGGTTCTGGGTTTAGAGTTTAGGGTTATCATCATGTCGCATAATAATTCAGGAGTTGTGGGACTTGTGACGAGCCTAAAATGTTCATGCGAAGCTGGATTCATGTCAGGGTGCTGGTGAGTGCATGGCAAGCTCCCTGAATTCCTGTTCGTGATGCACTTTGAATCAACAAATGTTCCGAGACTAGTTCGAATAGTTTGAGGGTTTGGTTAGTACAGGGGTCTGGTTAGTTGTTCATGATTTCCCTATATACAGAGTTTCGGCTCCAGTCACTTTGGGTTTTAGGGTTTAGGGTTTAGGGTTTCTAAACCCTAACCCCAAACTAAACCCAGAACCCCAAAACCCTAAAACTCCTACCATAAGCTGCAAAGCATAGGTGTGGGGCACCGGCGACGGCGACATGACGCACTCCTGGTTCGCTGGCGGCCACGAACTCAGCTTAGGGCTTTGCGATTCTGGCTTCAATGTTTTCTTACGGTTTCGGGTTTAGGGTTCAGGGCCCAGACCCCAAGAGGATCAGAAAGTAGATCCCTTAACCCTACACTCCAAACTAGTCGGGTTTCTATTTTTTTGGATCCTCCCGGGGGTCCGGGTATATGGGACTTACAAGGCCTCTGTTGGATTTTCGTAGAGGTTTACGCACATGTGGGTTTGCATGATTATCGTAGGGCATTTGGGGATTCTCGATTTAGCGTTACGGGTTGTGTCTGCAGGGCTTCAAGCTTTGACATTTCTGTTGTGCATGTCTTTCTCCAAGCCGTTTCCCCTAGACCCTATAATGTAGGGGTCTTAGTAATTAAAATAGTTGTTTTTCTTTGGGGGGGGGGGTCCTTATTACAATTATAGTATATTATTATATACCCCCCAAGCCCTAATTATTGTAATTATTAAGGCCCGTATCTTGAGCCCTAAACCCTAAGCCGGAGGGGGGGGGGAGCTGTGGTTTCGGGCTTTTCTTTGCCACAAGGCCGAGGCTTTCCTGAACCTTGGGTTTAGGGTTTAGGGGTTTAGGGGTTTAGGTTTCAGTGGCTCAAGTCACCCTGCATCCTAAACCTCTACAAACTCTAGACACCCTTAGGCCTTAACTTATAGACCCCTAAACACACTTAACCCTAAATTACCCCGACACTTCTAACCCCCGTAACGTGCAACAATAACTAGGGTTTTGGTCTTGAAGTCATCCTAAGCCACCAGGCTACACCTCATTAGAGTTAAACAAAGTGCAGTACCTCCGTTGACTATCCTACCCTAAAACCTGAACCCTAATAAACCCTAAACACCAAGTCCTACCTCCACCCCCCCAACTACCCTCTACTATACCGTAATTTCCCTACCATCACGACCAGAAGGGCTGCCATAACGGACACTTGGGGAAGTTCGTGCCCTAAACCCTAAACCGTAAGCCAATCCTGGCCTCCATCCACCAAAACTGCAGCCCAGGCTGGCAAAAAGGAGGCAATCAGCTCCTTCGTTGCAAAGGCAGAAGCTGGGCTGGGGTTTAGGGTTCACGGTTTTGCTTTTTGGGGTTTAGGGATTATAGGGTTACTGTTTTCGTGTTGTTGAAGCGGCTACTCGGTAGTTGCAACTAGGAGTCGCAAGCCTCGTGTAGGGGCCTCAATACTTAGGATAGGGTCTTGGTGTCTATGATGGCAAAGTTGTCTATTCACTATGATGGTGTTTTGCCCGACCCCTTCGTTAAACACCGACGCGTATCCCGAAGCAGCAACTCCCAACGCTGTGCCCCAAACCCGCCGGGTCTGGGAAGTCCTTTATGTTGCCCTTTGGGCACGAGCTTCCTGCAACTTACGCCATGACATGCTCTCAAAACCCAAGCCTCAACGCAATAACTCCCAAATTCGAAGCCCCCGCACAATCAGCGCAAACCCCAAGGCTGAAACAACAAAGCAAACCCGTCAAGGCCCCAAAGCCTAAAAGGGGCCTTATAAGAATAGGGTTTTGGGGCCGATTATCCTCTTTAATATAAGCACCCCCTCCACCCCCCCCCCAAAAAAAATGCATTGGTAATTGTTTAGGCCCCTACATTTAAACGAAACCATAAACCCCAAAACATGGGGGCTCTCCTCTTGGGCATCGCTTTGCCCAAAACCCCGTGGTGAGAGCCCCTGCACCTGCTGAAGATGAAGACTGTTCTTAAAGAGCGACCAGATAGGACCCTGAGTTTCCGGTTGTTTGGGCTAGCCTTTTGGGTTTCTTTTTTTGGAGGTTAGGGTCTAGGTGTGTAGACCTATGAGTTCGAGGCTTTAGGCTTGCAGCTTGAGTTTAGCCGTACCCTAAGGTGTCCTCGTATGGTTGCGAGCTTAAGCTTTGGGCTGCCGCGCTTTTGAGGTTTATGGTTTACAGTCATGTCCAGAGCATAGCACTCAGGGTCGATTTCGGCGCTTTAGGCTTGCGGTTTTGATTGCATGGGCCGTCGCCCAAAACCCCTGTACCGGAAAGGCACCCACTCTTCCTGCACTACGGACGAGCACGCAAAACTACATACCTTGAGAATCTAACCCCGGCGCCACGCACGCACCGCTGTTCCTCTGTCTGGGGTTTACCCATAGGCTCCATAGTAGTTGCCTTTTGGGATTGCCTTCTAGGATCCTGAATATAAACCACAACAAGGAACTACTATGGAACCCTTTTCGTAGGGTCTGAGGGATGGGGGTTGGGCTTCGGTCCCAACCCTGCAAACCAGAAACGCAAAGCCCAAACAAACTGCAGGGACCTAAACCGATGTCCCCAAACCCCTAAACCCGCTAAACCCCAAACCCACAAACCCTAACTGGGCGCCTGATAGTTCAGCCTTCGTGCAGCCAGCACAGGAGGGCCTCTGCAATCTTTGGAGCGCACGGTGACGGTTTGGGGTTTAGGAGTTTAGGGTTTACTCAGGGTCTCCACGATCAGGGCGTCGCTGGCGGATGGCCTGGGGGTAGTGGGAAAGCTTGGGGCACTTGTATTTAGGATGAAGGCTTCGAGTGCAATATACAAACCGAAACGATCCAACACCCGACTACCTGACCTGAAACCTTTGGAGCGTCGGCACAAGTTTGCTGGTTTGGGGAAGGTCGTATATGGTTTCATGTGAAATCTGTGCGGGAATTGCTCTACAAAGGTACTTCATTTGAAAGAGTAAGAACCACGAGCACCTGCGTTTCATTGCCTTAGATCCGACAGCCTAAAGCCTCGTTCCTGCACCCGCATCTCTAAACCCAATGATGTGTGCTTACCCATAGGCTCCATAGTAGTTCCTTTTTGTGGTTTATATTCAGGATCAAGACCCAATGAATCACATGCGGCCCAGAGGAGCAACTACCAGAGGCTGAGACGAAAACGGAGAGTCAACACATGCAAAACCCCCTAACCCTAAACCCCTAAACCCAAAACCCCCTAAAGCCAAAGCAAACCCCTCGACGCAAGACTCAGCTCCCAGACTGGAGATGCCCAACCCTGCAGGCCAGCCCAAAGTTTGGAATCCCAAGACCGCGACCCGCAAGCATCCGTCAGCGCCCCTTATAAGCCCTAATCTAGGGCCTTAATAATTAGAATAAGGTTTTGGGGTACAGTATATTATAATTATAGTGATTATAAGGAACCCCAAAATAGCATTCGCCCCTAAACCCCAAACCGTCCGGCCCCTATTGAACCCTGGCATGGCCTCGCCAGCCCTCCAGCGCCAGCAGCTGCAAACCGTCCAGAGCCGCCAGCTCCACAGCAGGACCCAAGCCTCTGCGTCGGTTCTTTTGAGAGAGACCGGTTTAGGGTTTTTAGGGTTTAGGGGTTTAGGGTGAAGGGTTCTAGGGTTTAGGGTGTAGGGGTTTAGGGTTTAGGGTTTGGGGGTTTACGGGTTTAGGGTTAGAGACTATATGGGGGGTCTAATATACACTACGAATCTGGAATTAGGTTCCCCCAAACCATGATTTGGCGGGGCTTCTTGGGGAGCCGAACTCCCTAGTGGCAGTATCTTGGACCCTTTCGGCTCCGTTGCAGGTTCAAAGTTTCAGAATTGAAGGTGTCTGGGCACGCCACTGCCCCTCCTTTCCACCTTCAGCCCTTTGCCAGGCTGTCGTCAAGCAAGGAAGGGATTCGTAGTTCTTGCAGCGCTTACTGTAGGACCTTCATGCAGTTCAGCTGACCCCAAAGCCCGCGCCCCAAACCTCAAACCCCTGACACCCCAAACCTCAAACCACGCTCATTTCAAATTTCGGGGTCTGAAGTAGTGCCTAGAGCAGCGTTGCCTGCTGTCTTATAGCATACAACTAATAAACGAACCCTAATAGGAAACATTGGTAGCTACCCATAGGCTCCATAGTAGTTCCTTTTTGCGATTACCGTATATAGGATCCTAGATATAGATATTAGCCACAAAAAAGGAACTACTATGGAGCCTATGGGTAGTCCAGCTTCCATACTCGAGTTCAGCTGCGGCACTGATGTAGTTCTCAAGGCGGCTGTCACGGAGGCCGCTGCCGATAATACTCCTCGAGGGAGAGCTGCAGAGAGCCTGCCTCGGTGGGTCTGATAAGTGACTACGCTTTTTTCGGGCTTTGTGGGAACGTTCGGGCTTAAGGCTTCTATGTCTCATGGTGCTTCTGAAGATTGGAAGAGGTTTGAGGGTTTCGAGCATTTTCGGGGTTGATGGGTTGGGAAATAGAGAATGGGGCTGAGACGTGGAGGTGTTGCAGAGACGCCTAAAACACACTTACCCCTCCCCCCAACCCCGAAAAAAGGGCCAAGGGCTTATAGTTTATATAGGCTTATGGGAACTGTTTAGCCCCTAAACCTTCAACTAAGAAGTCCAAGCACTTCAACTCCAAGTCCTTTACCTACTTGCAGGGTCGGGAGACCTAGTAAGTGGGTACTAAGTAGACTTAGAAGTACCCTAAAAAGGATCCTAATTGGGGTTATGATACTTACAACTCTATAAAATAACTACTTACTAAGTCTCCCGTCCCTCCAAGTAGCATGCTCTGATGCCAAAGCCTCGAGAATCCAAACAGGGTTGTGGGGCAAAGGAGAGTATACTTATGCCCAGGAATCTTAAGGAAAGGGATCACTGTTCCTTCTTACTGCAACTAGTCAGGCCACCGGACGGTTCATCCTTTCTTAAACGGGACCTTTCAGCCTGACATTCTTTGCTGAGGATCGGATCGAGGCTCATACGGTTTCGGGGGCGTTGCTCCGCCTAGTCGCAATGAAAGCAGTGCCGGGCGCTGCCGCCTCTTCAGCGTGGCTGCAGCAGCCTTCGGATGTGAAGTGGAGGGCTTAGGGTTACTTGCAACAGGCTTCAGAAACCAAGCTGCCACCGGTTCTTGCAACTCATCTTACGGCCGCTTCGACAAGGAGCCTTCGCGTGTGGTGTCAAGGTTCGAGGTTTCTGCCTCTCTGCTCTGAGGGGTGCTTAAATCACTATGCACAGTGGCGGAAGAGCATGATCTGGTGGGACTGTGGGTGGCACTCATGTGGTCCTACCCTAAACCCTAAACCCTAAACCCCAACCCTAAACCCTAAACCCTAACTTCTTAGCCATGGCGTTCTGCAGGGCTCGATCCCTCTCAGCACGTCGCCTCAGAAAGGCCGTGACCAAGAAGAGCTGCAGCCGCGGCGACCTTCTTAGGCCCGAGAGCTCGAATTTCAGGGGTTTACATAGGGTTTTCGGGTTTAGGACTTAGGGTTTAGGGTTTAGGGTTTAGAGCTCGAATTTCAGGGGTTTTAGGGTTTAGGGTTTAGGGATTTAGGGTTTTGGGTTTTGAGCTGGAATTTAAGGGTTTTAGGGCTTAGGGTTTAAAGAGCTCGAATCTCAGGCTTGGCTCTGGGAGTTTGGGGCTTTTCAACGTCGAATGCGGCGAATTATGAGGGCACCGGCTCCAGATTCCAGGGCTTCAAACGGGCCTGTTTTAAAAGGTACCCTTACACAGGGGTCTATGGCCCCCACATATAAGTGTTTAGGGTCTAGTGGAGGCTAGATGGCCGGATCTGGATATGTTTGCTGTTTTTTGGTTGGCCGCCCCAGTGTTTATAGCGTTGTTGTATGATTCCAGCAGCTGCTCCGTTCTTGTCGTTACGGTTCGCACCCCTACGGCTGCCGAACAAAACCCTGCATCATCCTCGATAAGTCAAGTACCGGGCTTAGGGTTTAGGGCTGAGGGTTTCAGGGTTAAGGGCTTTAGGGGTGTAGGGTTTAGGGCTTACATTTTCAGG